TTTATCTTTCTTATCTCCCTTGATCACTTTTAGGGGGTTCTTTGGTTTAGTGACATAGTTATAGGCTTAATCATGCAACTCCACTTTTCAAAGTTTTCGGGTACTAAGGCTTCGAGCCTGGTACTTTTCCTTGTGTCCTGTAATACCTCTTAGGAGAGATTACGACAGGAGGCTGCCCAATTTTCCTTGAGTCATCCCCTCACTTCCTTTTACTCTATCTTCTTCATCTTCTTCTTCTTCTCATTTCAAAACCAACTTCCCATTAACTCATTTTTATTCTCTTCTTTCTTCACTCTCTTTCTTATTTCTTTAACCACTATACCCTCAAAACTAGAACTATTAACTCAAAAAACACATTAAAGATGAGTACATTATATTTGGATTTCATTAGTAGTTTTCAAGTGAGAGTCCAAGTGAGGTGTTGAGTTTAGAGAGGGGGTCGAATTCAAACTGCATTGTTAGACAGTCTAAGGGCTTTCGTTCATTAATCTAAAAGGGCAATAGCATGTGCTTATCCTACAAACTCAAACTGCGGTGAGATAGGTGCTTGAGTCCATATCTTCATCGCTCTAAAATCCTCTCATAGTTGGACATACATATCTGCACGTGACACACAAGCCACACTCGCCCTTGTGAGGTCAGGCAGTTGTTCGAGAGGGGGTCAATCGAATCCGGGTCCCCGAGGGAGCCCGAACGAGGTAGATCCAGGCCCGACCAACAACTTATTTCAATTTTAAGAATACCAATCATATTTTTTCTCAACCCACATTGCCACATGCAAAAAATACAATAGATGGATACTACTCTATGAAATTCAAACTTTGGTCCAATGTATTCTACTCTATGATTTATTCTACAGATGTATTCTACACTATGATTTATTCTCACATAGAGAAAACATCATTGGATTATCGCTTCTCACTTAATGAAGCTATTTTTAGTATAATCTAAAAAAAAAAAAGTAGGTCAACAATAAAAAAACCCACAAAAAGTTGGATCAAGTTGGTTTGGTTAATTTCCAGGAGTTGAACCTTGACCATCCTCGCAACAAACAATGTGTCTTTCCATAGAGACCAAATCCCAATTGATTACTATGAACATGTTCTGAACTAATCAGAAATCAAATACAATGCATTCCTCATGCATTATAAGTTATCAGGTCCAATTGAGTATTCAAACTAGGACACTAAGTTCTAATTGTACCAGAAAATAAAAAAAAAGCATATTGAGTGTTAAAGAATGAAATGAGAAATCCAAGCATCATACGTATGAATGTAGGATCTATAAAAGCTCAAATTGGTTGTTTTTTCGAGATCCAATTCAAAAGCCTACAAGAATTTGCATACATTTTTCCAAATTTTTTAAGATTTAAAGCCTAATATTGCTAACATAGAAAATATGTTTACACAAGGATGTATCTCATTGCAATGAAATAGAATAAGAAAAAATGAAATTAAAGATCATATTGCAACTATTGTTCTAGCATATGCAGTAAAAATTAATCGAAATGCACATGGGTAATCAATGGATTTCATTTTTACAATGAGCGTACCAGCACGGCAGCAGGCTCAGGTTCGATTCCAGATGCTAGCAAGAGGGAGAGAGTGTGTGAGAGATGAGAGACAAACCAGAGATAGAATGTTAAATAATGACATGAAAAATCCAAACATCAAATATATGTAACATATCATAGTATAGAGATGGGGAGAGAGAGAGAGAGAGTGAGAGAGCTTACCTCGAGAGAGGGGTGTTCTAGTTTGGGGGTGTTTCTATAATGGAGAGAGATAATGGCGAGAGATGGAGAGAGGGGTTCTCTGCTAATGGAGCGAGAGCTTTGGTATTTACTGTAATGGATAGAGAGAGAAAGGTTCTGAATTACAAAGAGAAAGGGATAGTTTTTTTTTACTGTGATGGATAGAGAGAGGTATTCTGAGTTAGAGAGAGAAAAAGGGTGCAATAGAGAGGGTGTGGTTTTGAGTTAGAGAGAGAAAGGGATAGAGAGGTTATGAGGTTTTTTAGGCAAGAGAGAGAGAGAGGAATTATGGATAATCATTAAGGGAGAAAAAGAGAGGAGTGTAACGTGGAAAGAAAGAATGTCAAAATATTAAATGCATTACAAGCTCCAATGTATGGGGAGGTTTAATACAATTTCAAATGTAGACAAATCTAGGTCGTCCATTACATCACAGTTAATTCCAACCGTTGGGTGCATATCTCTTCTATGAGTTAGTGGGTTAAGTTCATTTTTTTTTTTATGAAAAAGTCTTAAAAACGTTTACAGACGAATTATTAATGTTTCAATAGAATTTTTATAACGGGTGCATTTTGTATAAAGCCGAGGCTCTAAACAAACAAAATAGTGTCGAGAAATGTAGTTTCAATACTGAAAATTATTGTAATAGCTTTAAAATATATATATTTTTTATATTTAATTATAAAATTTGAAGCTTCAAAAATAATGTAGATCAAGTAGATTTATAAAAGCTTAAAAATCTTGAAAATTAACGGTCGAAAAATACGTTACAATATGCATTACTTCCAAAACTCGAATTCTATTTTTTTTTTATGCTCATGCATCTTGATGTTGAGACGATCAATTTGAAGATATTTGAACATCAAAAAACCTTATTGTAGTAAAATTTTTGAAGTAGCTCTAATTTAATTGTTTAGAGCCTAAGCTCTATATAAACTTCTTCTTTTTAGTTATTTTAGGGGGGCCAATAGATTTGACCAATGGTTTAAAAACCGGATCGGTGACCCGGATTGGGCTTTTTCAAAAATCGATCCGGATCGACGAATCGGCGATTCGGATCGGAATCGGGTGAATCGGTCAGAATAAAGCTTCAAAAAAATCCGAAAAAATTATTAAAATTCATTATAAATATTAGTTTTTAGGAATTCAATAAAAAATGAGGGTACTCCATTAAGAATTTTCATGTTTTTGAATGAATATGCGAATATTGATATGTTCTTTCCCTGCATGAACCGCCATTCAGCATTTAATTTACAGTATTTCGTGCTCATCCCTACACTGTTGCTGTTGGGACTCAA